AGAGAGCGGGGTGGTGGAGCCGGGGTGGCGTGCGGGGGGCGGTGGGGTGAGGGCACGGGAGCGCGGAGGAAAACCTGGCCTGGAGCTGTGGGAGCGGGCGGGGGCTGCCTGAGCCGGGCCTAAAGCGTCTTGTCAGAGCCTTACGTTTTATTCAGGGATTTAAACGCTTACAGTTGCGTCTCTGTTTCTAAAGCGCCTCCTTGATTTTCTTCCCTGGGGCAGGGTGAGGGGCAGCTCTGCCCATCCGTGGGCCTCACGGGAAGCAGGCCTTGGGCTGCCTGCAGGAGTTTGAGTACCTTGTTGGAGTCCGAAGGAAGAGGCGTATTTTTATTTTATAAGTCTCCGATGTGTTTCAGCAAGCTTGAGGGAGACAAGCGGCGGGGGAGCGTGGTCTCTCCCACCCAGGACCAGGGCCACAGCCGCTGGGGCTGGCGTAGGCGAAGCCTCTGTGCCACCATGGCTGTGGAGCAAGGCACAGGGAAAACCAGTTGGTGTCCAGTGGCCATAAGGGTGCCGGGGTGGCCGCCGGGGCCTGAGGCCGGGGCAGCCTGAAGGGCAGAGACCGCAGTGGGGCTGGAGGAGACCCCTGCCAGGGGATGGAGATCAGGCAGCCTTGAGAGGGGAGAGGTGGGGTGAGGGACAAAAAAAGCCTAATGGACGGAGATCTGAGTCCTGCAGAGAGTCTGTCTGCCTGAGATATAATCGGTGAGTATATATATATGCACACATATGCATCTGAGATATAACAGAAGTTATAACGCAGGACTAAGGCCTTGTCACTGGGGTAAAATCAATCATAATTAGAAATAATAATGCCTATTTCTTATTCTGTTCCCACTTACAGAGCACCTTTTGGTAGATCTCTCTTGCACCCAGTTGGCTCCTGTGCCATCCTAGTCAAACGATGCAGACATTCAAGGGCATAGCTGAGAACAAAATGGGGCTTTGTTTGCAAGATTCATGAGAAGCCACTCGGTTCAATCCACCTACAAAATCCTGCGTTTGCCAGCACCCAAGGAAAACGGCTGCCTGCCGAAGGGATGCAGATCACACGCAGGCCTGCACACCAGTAGGAAGGGAGCAGAGGCCCAGCAACAGCTTTGCGATTGGTGTGAGAGAAACCAGCCTGCATTTGCTTGAAACATGGAGCTTTTACAGGAGGGGAATGCGCTGGGGGGGCTCGTCAGCCTCTCCTGCCTTGTGTTTTGTGTTAAAACTCAGCATTGCAATAGCAATAATAATTTCAAACACCCAGGTCGTTTAGCTGGGGGGGGGGGTGAAATCCGCAAAAGTCTTTTGGTTTCTTCTCAGGTTAGAATCATACTCAGTGGTTTATATTGTCTGCTTCTGGAGCTGTATAAGCATAAAAGATTGGAATAGCCTTTCAGATTTAGGTCTTTCCTCATCTGAAAGTGAATGATAATGCTAAGCTTATTCTTTTAGTTACAGAGAGAGCACTCGGAACAGGTCTGAAAATAGTCGAAAAGGCACGTGGCAATGTATTTCGTGACAAGATGGAGTTTTGTAATGGGAAGAGATTAAGATGATACGGTGCTGTTCTTCATCTGATTAGGGCAGGCAGCCAAGCACTGAGCATCCCGAGTGAGTTTGTACCCAATGTCCGAATCAAACGGTGGAGCAGCACACCCCTAAAGGCTCAGATTTGTGTTATATTCAGATTGCAAGGCAGATGATAGGCCCTACTGCAACAGAGTCCTTAAACCCATCTGGCCGGTTCGCAGGAGAACGGTGCTTTTCCGAGCTGAGAGGGACTTTCTGCGAACAAAGCCACTCGGTGTTTCCACCACCCTGGCTGCACCCCTCGCTATGATTTCAAGACAAGCTTGGCAAATAGCAGGATGTTGGTCCTAGCAGACCATGACCCATTATACTGACAAATACTGATTTCCCGTGCCAAAAAGTCTTGTTATTTCGTGCCTGTGACTACAAACTCTGCGTGGCAGTAACCGCCTGTTCCTTGTATGCACGTGCAGGGTATGTTCCAGAAGCACAGCTGCCCAGAGAGACCCTGTCCAGGGAGCTGTTTACAACAGGGATCTTCACGCTGATCAGTGCTGTAGCCAAACGTTTGGCTCAAAATAACAACTAGAGGTAACGTGTAAATAGGAGAAGGAGCGTTTTAACCACTCTGGCAGGCAATGTTGTTCCACGTCCATCGCTAGTCAGCTGTGCCTACCAGAGAGCTGGATACGCCGCTGATGGCTGAACAGTGCGGGTAAAACAGCTGGTAACTGAACTGTAGATGAAAGCTGTTTCAGGCTCTGCGAGGGCTTTGGTCTCTCTGTGCCGTACCTTTCGGCTCTCCCAGCTCTGCAGAGTGTCCTGGGCGAGACAGAACCGTGTGAGCCTGGCCAACCCGAGGACATCAAAGCAGGGGGCTTCTTTCCTGAGAGCTCTTCCCAGCTTGCTCCGAGCGAAGCCCGTCAGCCTCCGGCTGGAGCAGGGCAGCAGAGGTGAGTGGACACCGCAGAGCTCCTGCACCATCGCAGCCGGTGAGCGCGGGTGTCCCGGATTTTGCACCTTCTCCTTTGGTTCTGGCAATGTGGTGCAGAGACCCCGGGCCAGCTCCGTGCCGACTGCAGGTTTGCAGGTAGCCAGCTCTGCGGGGTTCTGGGGCGCAGAGGTGTCAGGCAGGGCCGGCAGGCCAACCTCCCCCTGCGTTTCAGGGTTTGGTGCTTCCTCCCTCCTTTCGGGGTGCTCTGCGTCTGCGGGGCCGTGGCGTGGCAGTGAGGTACCACAGAGACAGGAGAGCCGTGGGTGTTTGCAGTCCTGGGGAGAGCCAAGCGACCAATAAAAGTCCTTTTGTGCCTGCTGGGAAATTGCCATCGGGGGGCTTTTTGGGTGCAGTTTTCTGTTGGTTAATGTGACGCGGCAGCTTGAACCCGGGATAAAATACATCACGGCTGGGAAAGGAGGAAGAAAAGAGGACGTTGTGTGGAGATGCCGGGGATTGAACCCGGGACCTCATACATGCAAAGCATGCGCTCTACCGCTGAGCTACATCCCCTGCCCCGCGCTGCCCGCCCTGCCTGCCCGCCAGGTCCCTGCCGGCCTCTGCCC